TTGTTGCCAGTCAAAAAAAAAAAAAAAAAAAAAAAAAAACTGAATCCTATATCAAATTGTACAGACTTCTCTCTGGCAGCCACATAAATAGTACCTGTTTATTAGGGTATTGCTCAAATTTTAATTCACAACTGGCAGATGTGTGATAGAATTCTGGACACTAGATAACACAATCCTAGGGAGAAAGATGGGCAAGAGAAGGAAAACTAACAACTACTGAGTACCTACATGTGTCAAGTACTTTATATGTCCAATTTTATTAATTTCTACATTATAGAGTTTCAGGATTAACTGTCTCCATCCCTGAGATAAGAAAACTGGCTCAAAGAGGCCAGATCACTTGGTCAAGGTTGCCCAGTTAGTAGTAAGTAGGAAGGACCAATATTTCCAGACTGCCTTGGTGGTTGTATCTGTTCTTTGGGCTTTTATTCTATACCCTTATTCTTCAGTGAGAAAGGAGAGTATAGTGAAAAATAATGGGCAAATATAGATTTGATTTCAAGTCCTGCCACTCACTAACTGTATGGTTTTGGCAAATCACTTAACACCTCTGAACCTAAGTTTTCTCATCTGTCAAATGAAAATATTAAGATCCTGTATTCTTAGGGCCAGCTCGTGGTTCACTCGGGAGAGTGCGGTGCTGATAACACCAAGGCCACGGGTTCGGATCCTATACACGATGGCTGGTTAGCTTACTGGCTGAGCAAGGTGCTGACAACACCAAGCCAAGGGTCAAGATCCCCTTACCAGTCATCTTTAAAAAAAAAAGATCCTGTATTCTTGGCAGGCAGGGTTATCATGAGGATCTGAGAAAGTATTTTACAAAGTGCTATATCATGTAATAGGTATTGCCATATTCATCATCATCATCTTTCTTGGAGTAGGATGACAGTACAATGCTTTGAGCTTCTTTGTTTTATTAAAAGATCTTTGGAATGGAATGATTAGAAGAGGACTTACAATGCTTGAGAAAAATTGTGAGGTACTTGGGAGAGTTTAGAAGCATGTGTTAAGGGATCATGCTTTGTTCTGCACATCATGCAACAGAGCATATCATACAATGACCTCTTGTAGGAAAGTGAATGGGAAAGGGTAGGATCAGAAAGTGGTAATCCAGGATTCTTACCAGATCTCTTGATCAGCAGCTCTTTTGTTGGAACCTTTACTACTCCGAGTAGATACTCTTTGCACGACTGCATACTGACTATATCACTGACTGTTTAATGAAGCAAAAAAGAAAAATTATTTGGTACTCTACTGACCAAGGGGCTTATGTTTACAGTACATCCATATAACCTTCTACTTAAACTCACAGAATCTCAGTGTTGGAAGATGCATTAGAGATTACCTTTCTCACACTCAATCAAAGCTTGAATGCCCTAAAAATCATTTATTTAATTAAACATTATATTTTGAAAAAATCTCAGGCATATAGAAAAGTTGCAAAGATATTATAATGAATTCCTATATACCCCTTCTCTAGATTCACTCATTAACATCTTGACACTTTTGCTTTACATCTCTCTACACTATCTCTACACTCTCTCTCTCTCACACACACTTTACACACATTCTTATTTTTTGCTCCACCCTTCAGAAATAAGTTGCAGAGATTATGACCCCTCACCCCTAAACAGTTCAGTATGTATCTCCTAGGAAGTGCCAGACCATTCAAATCAGAGCCTATTTTAATTCTGATTGTGACAGGTCATTTGGTGCTCACCTGACTTGGTATTTTCATGAAAGATAGCAAAAGTAACTTCTGCAAATTCTAAAAGCTCTGCCAGGAAACAGGCCTCTCCACTAGAGTGCTGAGTTACCAAGTTACATGAGAACTCAATGTGATGAGAGAACTCAGGGCAGAAGGAGCAGGCCACAGGGCGGGTTCGGCGCTGTTCTCCCTTGGGCAGGAAGGAGAGATGAGTGGTGACAGAGGCATTGACCCCGACTGTGGCACTAAATTGTAGAGCAGGTTCCTGCTCAGCCAAGGCCCTGTAAGGGAGAGGGATTGGGGAGTAAGAAGAGGTTACCATGGTAATATTAGAAATCAGCTTGATTGCCTAGAAAACATCTCCACTACCTGCATGAGCCCATCAAGAATACTTATCAACCATGTTTCCTATCTAGGCTTTTGGCAGTGCCACAATGTGCTTTCTTAGTAATCTAGGTATCATAGCATATGTGTATTGGGGTAGGGGAAAGGCAACATTCATCTGCCTATCAGAGTGACATTCTGAGGACAACCCATTGTACTGTCAATGCTCTTCAGCCAAAGACCACAGGAACCAACTGTAGTTGAACAAGTTGAGTTTACTGCTCATTGCAAAGAAGGAAAATATACACCATGGGGAACCATAATCATTCAGTAAGAAGGTATCAGAAAGAGCTTATAGCATTGGGCCTTTGTTAGCTGACTTGGAAGAGGGCTCGAATGAGCAGGGCTTTGCTTTGGATTGGTTTTCTTAATGAATCTTAAGATTTCTTTGAAGGAAAGACTAGAGTAAGGCTAAAGCTGTAACTGGTAAAGCATCAGCAGTCACTGATTTTAGCCAGGATAGGAGAATATTGGGTATTTTTGTGGTTTGCATAGTGACCTTGTTTTGGTCTTTGTGTAGATATGATTATGGAGCAGTCTTGTTTTTGTCTCACTTCAGCATGGTCACAGGCCTTGTCTGATGCTGGTGTTCTGTGAGATTGTTTATGCTCAAAGAAAAAAACCCCAAAGCCTAGGTATGAATGTCAGACCAGTTCCCAGATGTCCAGGGCTGCTTTTCTCTTTCTCAGTACAGATGTTCCATGATGTACAGATAGAATCTACCCACCTTTAATTGATACTCATCAAGAGTTCTCAAGTCTTTTGTGTGTGGGTATAGTATGAGACAAATCTACTTACCCCAAATTCCCCAAGGGGATAAAACTGACATTTAGGCAAAGAGGTCATTTATTTTTGAAGCATTTCCTGATACCTCTAAAGCAGACTTAGGGGTTCTTTCTTCTAAGATCATCACTGTAGTTATTATGTACCAGCAAAGAGTAGTAATTTGGAGTTATACAGATCTGAGTTTGAATCCTGGATCCACCATGTACTTACTCTGTGACCCTGGACAAGTTATTCAACCTTTACCAAGTCTCAGTTTCCTCTTTGCTAAAATGAGGTTAACATAAGGATACAACAAATACTGAAGACATATATATTTGGATGCTTACTGCAATTTCACTTCTAATAAAAAAGGAAAACCTTCCCCTTTTCATTATCATTAATGATCATTAATAAAAGATTGATGTCCATATAAGAGCATACTATGGAGTATATATTATTCCCAGGAAAAAAAATGAAGTGGAAATAAACTGAATGTTAACTGTGGTTACAAAAGTGAGGATAAAATACTAGGTTGTTGTGAAGATAATATAAGACAATACATACAAAGCAGAGAACCTGACTATGGACAGTGAAAGGACTCTTAATAGGGAACACTCAGAGATGGCAGTGAGTTGGCAGAAAGGCTTGGGCCCCAAGCTGGTCTGCATTCATTCATTCAGTAATTACTTGCTGAGCGTCTGCTCTGTGTGTCATGTATTGGGCTCAGAGGTGGATACAGAGTAGTGAAATAGTGACAGTTTCTTACCATCACGGAACTTACAGACTACTGGGTATGTACAAGGAAGTTTCTACTCACTCTCAGTTAAAGATCAGGTGAGTTAGAAGACGCAAGTGAATGAGAAAGAAGTGTCTACTTCATATAGACACTAAAAATGTATTTTCAGGAAGACCAATGGTAGATAAGATGAAGGCTGGTGTCTCAATGAAAGAAGGCTGATTTCAGAGCACGTGCTATCTAGATACCAGAGTGAGGATTCAAAGGAGGGGTAGGTTTAGAATACTAAGAACTCCTCTTTTCAATGAAAGGCAATGCAAAACTTATTTCTGTTTTTACTATACTCTACTGGCTAATAAAGGCAGCATTAATTACCTCTGCAAGTGGAAGTAATCATATAAATCCATACATTTGTGTAGTAGTTTATAATTTATAAGATGACTTCATATTTGTTACTTTTTGAACTGATCCTTACAAAATCAAGGGCAGGTATTTAAAATTTTTCAGATGAAGAAACTGAAGCTGAGAGAGCTGTAAAGAAACCAGCACAAGACCATGCACAGCTAGTAGGAGATGGAGGTGGAACTGGAAGCCACAGTGTCTGATTTCTAGTGCAGTTCTGTTTCCATTATTAAAAAAACATGTTTTTTTCCCCTTAACCTTCCACAACAGTGTAGTGTTAAAACTAGCCAAGCTTCCTGCCCTTCCCTCTTGAAATTGCAACACAGACCAAATGGGGGACGTGGAATAAACTGCCTGCCATTCAATCTTACGTTTCCGTGAATCCTCACAGAGAGGAACTATGAAGTTTCTTATCTATTACTCAGTCTCTCTGAGATCTACTGAGTATCTACGTTCTGAGTCCTATTCTGCAAACTAAATGCTAGTTAATTTAATGCCATAATAAAGAATTCTGATCTTGGTTGGGTCTGACACAGAACAGGTACTCCATACATTTAAGTGTCAGGCCTCCAGGCCTTTGTACATGTTCTTCTCTTTGACCAGAATAATTTTCACCCCTCTTGGGCATCTTGATAACTACTATTCCTCCTTCAAGACTCAGATTAGGATATTTTGAAGGGCCTTGAATGCCAAGCTAAGGAAGTTGAGCCTTATCCTGTGGAGTAATGATTCCTAAAGAAGAGTGGGGAGATATGAAGGAGGCAGTTGCAGATGATGGTGCTGCTGCCGCCCCCACGTGGTAACCCCACTGCTGCCAAGGACACTGCAGAGGTGAGAGGCAGATGAAGAAGCAATGGAGGCTTTTGCAGCCACAGGCACTATTGCCACCCCCACAAGATAACCCTGCTGCTGCCGCGGACACCACAGATGCGAGGGAGGCAGTTGCAGACACAGGCACTGTTGCCACCCCCAAGAGGGAACACTGCTGCTGCCAAGGAGATGCCACAGATATGAGGGAGTCTGCTGCAGCCATTGGCACTGCTGCCACCCCCACAAGGTAACCCTGCTGCCACCAAGGACACCGCAGACTCAAGGGAAGCAGTTGCAACCACCAGTGCTGCTGCCACTCCCACAAAGTAACCTCTCTGCCTCCAAGGACACCACAGATGTGAGGGAGACAGTTGCAACCACCAGGGCTGCTGCCATTCCCACAAGGGAACCCTGCTGCTATCAAGGACATCTCAGATGCCAGAGAGGCAGTTGTAACTGCTGACACTGCTGTTGCTGCTGCAAGGTAACCCTGTCACCAACCACTGTGGACACCACAGCTGCATGGGCTGCAGCTGCAGACACCATAGCCAAGCAGGCAGCTGCTGCAACTGCCACTGCTGCAGTTGCTGCCACCACTGGCACTGCCACACAGCCACCATCATTATGTGAGCAGTCCGCCACCTGTGGAGCCTCTGCTGCCATATGGCAGTCCTCCAAAGCAACCACCACAGCCACTGCCACCACAAGGGCAGTCTGCTAACACAGTAGCAACCGCAGCAGCCAGCAGCCACTGCTGCTGTGCAGGCAGAAGGCTGAACACTCAACTGCACTGACACGAAGAGGGTCACCAGCACAGTCCAAGGAAGGAGAGTAATAGAAGAAGCAACTACTCTACCAGATGACCAAACATCAATGTGGAGATACTAGAAATATGAAAACAGCAAGAAAATGAGTCTACCAAAGGAATACAGCAACTCTCAAGTATCAGACCCCATAGAAGAGGAAACCCTTGAAATTACCGAAAAAGAATTCTGAGTAAAAATCTTAAGGAAACCTGGTGAGATACAAGAATATGCAGTTAGTTGATACAATGAACTGAGCAAAATTATCTGGGATATGAAGGAGGAAATTGACAAAGACAGTAATACTTTAAAAAAGAATGTAGCAGAACTCACGGAACTGAAGGAATCATCCAGTGAAATAAAAACACAACTGACAGCTTAAGCAACAGGCTACAGCAAGCAGAAGAATTTCTGATCTTGAAGACAGTCTCTTTGAAATAATTTGGGTGGACAAAAAAAGTAAAAATGAATTTTAAAAAAAGAAGAAAATCTAAGAGAGATAGTAGACAACCTTAAGCACACAAACATCTGAATCATGGGTGTTCCTGAAGGGGAGGAGAAAGAAAAGGCATTGAGAACATACTCAACAAAATAATAGCAAAAAACTTCCAAAGTATAGGGAGTGAAATGGACCTTCAGATTCAGGAGGCTCAAAGAACCCCAAACAGATTCAATCCAAAAAGGTTCTCTCCGAGACACATTTTAGTCAAACAGGCAAAACTCAATGACAAAGAGAGAATCCTAAGAACAATAAGAGAAAAGTGTTAAGTCACCTAAAAGGGAGTCCCCATCAGATGAACAGTAGACTTCTCAACAGAAACTCTAAACACCAGAAGAGAATGGGATGATATATTCAAAATACTAAAAGAAAAAAATTGCTAGCCAAGAATACTATACCCTGCAAGGCTATCCTTCAGAAATGAAGGAGAAATAGTGTACTTCCCAGACAAACAAAAACTATAGGAATTCACCACCACAGAACCAACCCCAAAAGAAACCCTCAAGGGAGTCCTGCACCTGAAATCCAAAAAACAATAATTACTACCATGGATACACAAAAAAGAACAAAACCAAGTAGTAGAAAAAAAAATGCAAATGAGAAAGAGTAAAAAATTGTATCTTACCACAAGAAAAAACCAACAAAAACCAAAGACAAACAATAAAAGGGAAAGAAGGAAACAAAAGATATTTAAAACATCCAAAGGAAAGTAGATAAAACACCAGGAGTAAGAAAACACCTTTCAGTAACAATCCTAAATGTAAATGGATTAAATTCTCCACTCAAAAGACACAGACTGGCTGATTGGATTAAGAAGCTAGACCCAATTATATGCTGTCTACAAGAGACTCACCTTACATGTAAAGACACACACTAAGAGTG